AGCAGGAATAATTTTAAAGGTTTTTGTAGCCCAAGCTCCTTTGCCAAAAGCCAGTTCCCTGGAACTGTTACCTTGTAAGGTTTATACCACTGGAGCTCACCCATCTAAACTGAAACTCTTTTCCTCAAAGAAAAAAAAGTCACACTTTCACTTCCAGAATTGAAACAACTGTCAGTTGTAACGAAAATGTCTTGTAAAGAAAATGAACATCAATCTCATTTCCAAATCTGATTCTCCACAGCCCTACAATTCACAGAGTCACCTCCTACCAGTGGACAGTGTGTGCTAAAGACTGCCAAACCAGAACGCCCTGTGTAAATGACTACAAAAAGCACAGGAGAGTGGAGAATTGGACCTTTTGGTATCCAAACTAAAATCTCCCACCTGTGATATACAAAAAACTAGAACTCTTGGTTCCAAAATGATACCTTTTATTAGACCAACTGGAAAATGGCAAGAAAATTGTCCTCAGTACCCACCTGTGATATGAATTTGCAGGGTCTAGCTTTGAATCCTTCAATTCATGATGTTTTAAGGGGCAGACTAAATAACATGATTAAAATGTAACCCTTCAATCAGGGAAACATGACTGCAATAAGGGTCCGGTTGAATAAATCTGGAAGACACTTTCTAAAATAAATGGAATTCAGGACTCAAAAACCCACTCGGAGCCATACTCCTAGCTCTAGGAAACGAAAATTTAACTTCCCTGGTCCATTTTCATAAAACTTGTTTCTTTCATGCTTATAAGCCCCAAACAATACAGCACAAATTTGCGAGGGTGAAATTACAATATGTAAATTAACCAAGTCTGAGCTAACTCTTCCCCCCCTCTCTCCTAGAAGGTTGACGAATGCTCCACCTCTGAGCTGTCTGGCTCAGGGACTGACTGCAGTGAAATGCTTGCTTGGGAGGAAGCGGGTGGCTTGGAAACTTGCATGAACCAATGTGCCGATGATCTCTGGGAAAGGAAAGCATCCCTGGGACTTTGTGTAAACAGTTATGAATTGTCGTTTTTAAAGGTCCCTGTTTAATTGAATAGTCTTCAAAACAGTGTTTTAGATAGGCTTTTCAGCACTTTCCCCTATCAGTAACACAAGACCCCCTAGACTAACCTATTGGATCATCAGGAATCACAAACAAAACCAAGGGCACCTTGGAGTAAATTCCAACCATTTTAGGCATAGATACACTTTAGGCATAGATGTAAGCATTCACAGGAAGGTTGCAGTCCTACTGAAGAGCAGTTTCACTGTCTATAGTAAACAACTCTTGGTTTTCTAGAATTCAATCTGAGGAGTTATCCATTAAGTATTAAAAGTAAGGTTATGAGGCTCATCGGGAAAGCAAGAAAAATGAGGTAAGAGTTTATGTCAAGATTTGCACTTAATATTGCCTTGAGGACTACTATGCTATGTAGGAGCAATACAGGGTATTAACAAGTTACTAGGAATAACTGTATTAGCAATGTAAGTTTGATTTAAAAGCAATAATTGTGTTAGAACATGTTGTACCTGGACC